TCACACAGCTATCAATGTTACAGACAAGGATACATTTATGATTTATTTTTTTAAATATATCTGGAGGAGTTGCATCAACTCTCAATAATATTTAAGCCTGTAATTTGAATAAAACCTTCAGAAAGTTCATTTTTATTGCAGGACTGGTTTGTATTTTAATGTTTACATGTATCTTATACTTTACAACATACAGCAAAGAATGACACAAAGCATAAAACATTAAGTCAATTTTGGATCTTACCTAAAAAGGCACACACGACAAGACACGACCAGCTCTTTTGATTGTTTGTCTCGAACTGAAGTCTCTCCTCCTCCAGAGCTGACGATGACTTCTCAGGGCCGATGGATACCAACGTGAGACTGCGCTACAATGGAGAGATAACCTGGGATGCTCCCGCCATCACCAAGAGCTCCTGTGTGGTGGACGTCTCCTACTTCCCCTTCGATAGCCAGGAATGTAACCTGACTTTCGGCTCCTGGACGTACAACGGTAACCAGGTACAGAGAAAGTCACTCACTCACAACCATGGGATTCTGCAGAGGACAAACCCACCAGTCGATTGATTTATTTAAACAACACAAGACTCACTCAGGTCTGGGTGGTGAGGCCATGACCTCTGTGACACACCTGGCTAGATAAACGCATCAGCCACATATGCACCTGCCTTGAATCTCATTACATACAGCATTGCAGGCATTTGCTGAATTTGTGCTGTCTTGGAAAATATCATTGGGTTGAGCTGCTTGTTTGCCTCCTTTACGCCCACTCAGCCCTTGTGCTAATTCCAGGTAGACATCATTATGGGCATGGACAGTGGTGACCTGTCGGACTTTGTGGAAAACGTGGAATGGGAATGCCACGGGATGCCGGCCACCAAGAGTGTCATCATGTACGGCTGCTGCTCCGACCCATATCCGGACATCACCTACACCGTGCTGCTGCAGCGCCGCTCCTCCTTCTACATCTTCAATCTCCTCCTCCCCTGCTTCCTCATCTCCTTCTTGGCTCCTCTGGGGTTCTACCTGCCCGCAGACTCTGGGGAGAAGGTTTCCCTCGGAGTGACGGTTCTCTTGGCTCTCACTGTGTTTCAGCTGATGGTGGCCGAGAGCATGCCTCCATCAGAGAGTGTGCCGCTCATAGGTAAGAATGTGTTTGTCGAAACCACTGTGTTGATTTTTATGTAACTGTAAGATCTTTATAATAATTATTGTGGCTTGAAAACTGTGCTAGATACTTAGCTTTAGAAATGCCAGTGTCAGTTGGTCGGACGGTGTCCAGACTGACATCTTGCGATGAACTGATGCACAGACTCAACATTCATTCAAGGGATGTACTCGGAATGATCTCCTGACATTTCCTCCATCACCATCATCTTTGGTTATTATTAGCTTTCCTTATCTCATCATAATCAGGTCAAATTAATAATTTGTTGAGCACTTATGTCCAAATCCATCCATCCATCCATCCATCCATCCATCCATCCACTCAGGGCGAGAGGCTGGGTACACCTTGGAGTGGCCAGTGTATCGCAGTGCCGACATACAAAGACAAACAACCATTCACACCTTCAGACAATTTAGAGTCCCCAGTTAACCAAACCGAATTCAAATCCAAACTAGACTGGCCCTCAGTGCATACCTCTGTCAAGGCTCAATGGCCCCACCCCTTGTTCATGCAAATTGATTCAGGGTTTTTTGTGTAATCTTGCTTACAAACACAAATACAGCCACCAAACAATAAAAATATAACCTCCTTGATAAAATCAAAAATCATCCCCATCAGCCTCTGTATATCTGTGTTCCATTTTAATTAGCGAATGTTTAACTTGGTAAACGTTAGACATGCTAAACATCAGCGTTGTCATTATGATGTGAACAAGCTTCAAAGAGCTGCAAGCTTGGATTGAAAATGAAATCTCAGTTGTTCAGTGAAGTTCTAACAGAAAGCCTCCTGTCTGTTACACAGGGAAGTACTATATTGCCACAATGACCATGGTCACAGCCTCCACAGCTCTCACCATCTTCATCATGAACATACACTTCTGTGGTGCAGAGGCCAAACCAGTCCCCCACTGGGCAAAAGTCCTCATCATTGACTACATGTCCAAGATTTTCTGTGTTTACGAGGTGGGTGAGAACTGTGCCTCCGCCTCCACCTCCACCTCCTCTTCGTCTTTTCACTCGCCGCAGGATGACATCCGTCACCAGCACCTCAGCTCCAACAGTCATGCAAACGGAAAACCGGGGAGCCACAGTCACAGAGAGGACCGACAGAATCAGAAATACCCTAGGCCCCAGACCCCGAAACCACAGCACCACCCCAGAGTGAAAGCTCAGCACCACATCACTAGAGACGAGAGGAGCGAGAGGAGCAAACTCTCTGCCTTTGTACCTGGAAAGTATGATGGCTCCAATGGTAGAATCCCCACAGGAGACTGCTGTAAAGACGACCAGACTGTGCCCTGCTGCCCCGAAGACAAAAAACCTCTGCCTCAAGGCCCCACTGTAACTTTTGGCCCCTGCGTGTTCTGCAGCCATGGCAGCGGCATCCCTGGTGTGGACACCAAGCTGGTGCGGAACGTTGAATATATCGCCAACTGTTTCCGAGAGCAGAGGGCCACATGCGCCAAGGGGGCAGAATGGAAGAAGATCGCTAAGGTGATGGACAGATTCTTCATGTGGATCTTCTTCATTATGGTTTTCCTCATGAGCATCCTTATCATCGGCAAGGCACCATGACCAAGCAATGTTATTTTTCATAAAAAGATTTATGTAGAAAAACAAATCTTTATTAATAAAAACAATTATATATATTATGGTGATATGGAAATAAATTGAATTGACTTTTTTCCCAGTGCACATCCTGCATTCCTTAATAATAACAAAAAATTAAAACCCATCATTTTAAAAACAGTTATTTTGAGTCCAACATTATATTTTTGCTCTTCATCAAAAAACAAAGCAAAATGTGCCAGACTATATCGAATATGCAGGGAATGCCAAGAACCTACAATGAATATATTCATATATCTCTGTTTTCAGTTTTCTGAATTGTTGTTGTAGCATCTATTTTGCCTACTTCGCTACCTGAACAATACAAACCATCTCCATTGACAGAATGTAACCTTATCCCCATCAATCATTGCCATCATTTGAAGGCACTTTTTCATATATGTCCCACTGAATGAAGGGGATCTGCTGTCAACTTAAAATATGACCAGTGGAGAAAACACTCCTTCACCACCGTGAAATCAGAGGCCCGTGATCGTCAGATTGGATAGACTGTAGAAATGAATTGCCCTTTTGGGATTAATAAAGTATTCTGAATCCAAATCGATCCGCAGAATCATTTTTTCTCTTAAAAACCATCTTGTGAATGGTTCATGAGCGAGCTTTGTTTGTAGGGCAGCCAGGGCGGATGTAAGGTAATATGGAGCATGAATTATGTAACACAAAGTGCACACTCTGACACCCACCTCCTCTTAAAACCACTATACCTTGAACTTGGAAAGTCAAGTGAACGTGTTTGTGTGTGGGAGGAAAAGGGAGGAATAAAAAACAATACGAAAGGAAAGAAAAGTCAATGTTAACAGAAGTGATTGAGCTTCACTTAAGTGCAACTTTCATCATATATGATGCATTTTAATCATTCTAGATTTATCAAACTGACTCAATGTAAACTAAATAGATTTAATATCTCCTGAACCAACAACATTAAAATATGTTCATTAAAAAAGGCTGATTTTAACACTTGCAGTTTGCAGCACTTACATTTGTTGTGAATGGGCGAAACAGTCTCCACTTTGCATTTGTTTTTAAGCAAGATCACATAGAAACTATGGGACGTGTTACCAAAAAACTTGGAGGGACCCATTCAATTTTGGTGCATATCCAGGATTTAGTTTAACTTCTTTCAATATTGTTACATTTTAATGATTTATCAGAGAATTATTCTTTGATGAAAAAAAATCAGCCATGTCTAGAGAACTGATATTTATGAGTTCAATTCGTATCAAGATAAAAATCTGGATCTGGTGAATTAGAATATGGATTTGCAGGGGGGCTGTTGAGCCTTGGTGAAGGTATGCACTCCATTCTGTATTTCCTGAACAGCTTTCATCACGACCCCTGCAGAAAAGTAAAGTAAACAAAACAGATGTCTCTCCCAGAGCTTTCATTACAACACCTTCATCTGACAGTAGAGGGCGTTAATTTCCCACATTCTGGTGACGGCTGCCCCAAAGTTCAGAGTTTAGGCTCCATGTGGCAACACAGGGTTGTAGCTTTGCACCACAAAGTTCTTACTGCTGTCATTTTGATCATCTTCAGTGATCCACTTACAAATTTCACTATTGCAGATTTGCAGGCTATTTTTCAAGTCAAGTTATTATATGGCAAGAGCCTGTATATCTTGTTTGCTGCCAATCAATTATTCTGTGGAGGCTATTGAACAAAGTGAGTGAGTGAAACTATAGTTGCAGCATTGAGCAGAAAATCAAATGTGCAGAGGAATCTTTTTATTTTAAAATCCTCCTCTTCATAGTGATGGTCATGGCGTCTGACATTAAGTGAGAATATCTCACATTTCCTTTTGAGGGCAGCCATTGTGTTCTATTAGTGCTCAGCGAGCCGCAGGGGCCACAGCAGCCTATAATCACCATGGGAGACTAGCAGGAGTGCACACCGTGTAATGGGAACAGGCGCTGCAGCTCAGCCACTGAGGGAAAAGACTGCTGGGAAAATAACCAACTGCTTTGGAAAATTTCACTTGGAGAAGTGTTATCTGTCTTCACTTAGATTGACACACACAAGGGGGGAAATCACTGTGATGATATAATGTATTAATCAGTGACTGACTAGTGGTTAAGAGCCAAGTTCCTCTTCACAATAGGGAATTTGTGACTTATTGATTATCAGAGGCCTTTAATGTTGTTATTTTGTTCTATCTATTGAATTTCTGTCCGTCTTGAAAGAGGGATCCATCAGTTATGTCCCTCTCAGAGGTTACTGCTTTTTTTTCCTGTTACAAGGTTTTTTTTTGTTTTCATAGTTATTCCTCCCTCTTCACGAGGGACAGGATGTTGATACCTTTTTAAACCCTGAGGCAAATTGCGTTTTGTGAATAGGGGCTTTATATTAATATTTGATTGAAAAGTTGTGCTGTGAGACAGTGTCCATTCTTGACATGACTTTCTGTGATGCAGACTGTCAGGATCCAGTCATTTAGTATAATCCTCTGATGTTTCTGTTTCGGGATTTTTAGTTTGACTGTGCACATACAGTGGACCAAGAATCCTCTCTGTCTCCCTATCTACTTTGCATTTAACTAATATGCTCAAGTAAGAAAGATCACGCAATTTCCACACAATTCCACACATTTTGCACAAGTCATTGAGTTTCAGGACATTTAAGTTTGTAACCCACGACTTTTAAACTGAAATATCGTTCTTGAGGCCTATAACCACTTCTTTCTGATAGTTGTAGATTCTAGATTCTTTGCATTTTAAGATTTCACTTAAAAAAAACATAATTTTAAAATACCCACCTCAACCATCTACAACGTTAACCTTGGTTATATTGAGTTAATTACACAACTGATTCCATTTCACTCCAATTTAAGTTTGTAATCTACAACATTTAATATTTAAATATTGTCCTCTGTGTTGATCCACTTCTTCTGACAGTGTCTTTGCATTTTAAGATTCTACTCACAAAACATCATCATTTAAAAATCATCTACTGACATGCTGTTGACATGTTACCTCAGTAAAACAAATACAATTCCTTATAATCCTTGTATAGTTGAAATATATATATGTGTGTGTATTATATAATGAACAGCAGGACCCTGATGTTGCCATGCGGTTGCCATGGTGACCGCAGCACGCTGACCCAGAGTCAGATCAGAAACTCATCCACAAAGTTTGTTCGGAAGCGGCTCCGCAGTCATGGATGTTTCTGAAGTGTGTGAGAGCACGTGTGTGAAACCGACAGAGAGAGTTTCAGAGAGGAACCTCCGTGGAGACGAGCTCCGCTTTTCTGACGGACCCGCTGAGATTTACCACGGAGCGTGTTTTACGGTCACTTCTGTTCAAACCAGCGGCTCGTGTTAGAATCATTGGTTAGAACCATAGACTGTATATAAAGATTAGAACAGATGAACAAACTGTCAGATAACAGTTCAGAGTTACTGGGAGAGAAAAGTTCACACTCTTCTAACAAGGTAAGATTTGTTTCTCTGAAATATTCTCACGGACACTAACGTGGAACCTTTGTTTAGTTAGTTTTCTTTTTATTTCCTTTTTGAAAACGCAGCGTTGCTAGCTTAGCTTAGCTCACGTTACTTGTATCAGAAGATAATATTCAGTTACTTGATATATTATATATATAATGACATTTATCCACAAGTTCAAATTGGGGTTGGAAGATATTGCCCCAAATGATGTCATCTTAAACATTTTATTATGGGGATAATAATCACCATAAATGTCACATCATTATTTCCTTTAAGTTTAAAGCTCCTGAGTGAAGGTTGTGGTTTGAAATTCTCCTTTATGAGCAGACACTTTAATGTGTTATATCCTCTCTTCGTGCACATTATAAGCAATATATTGATATTTATCAGACTTGTTTTGTCACTATTGATTTTATTGTGATGATTATTGTTATTGTTTTGTTGCCCAGACCTAATTTAATTTTAGATTTAAGTCTTTAAATGATCTCCCAAAGTCGGTTTTACTTACATTGCCCCAAATCACACATTTGTCTTACTGTCTATCTAGTGTCGGGGTGGTTTCTGCATTTATTTAATCCTCATAGTAAAGATTTTATGGTCTGTTTTCCAGGTGTCACAGAGAAAACACATCTCTGAAAAGATGGGGAAAACTAAAAATACCAGAGGGCGTTCCAGTCGCTCTTCCACATGCAAGACAAAAAAAGTTGACTCCCAGATCGCAAGCAGCAAAGACCTGACTCCTCTGGATGCCCCGGCCCACTGTGACACTCCTGCCGTTCCTCCGGAGCTCCAGACCCCTGGCCGAGTTCAGCTGGGATTCTCAGACAGAGTCTACCTGCTGGCGTCAGCCATCTTCCAGAATCACCACCTGAGCAAGCCTGCAGCTCACCGCCTGGTGAGTTATGGCAATGAGAGAGGGATCCCTCTACCTGAAGTCAAAGATGGGGAGATGCAACATACTGCTTATGAACTCGCCTTCAATACGCTCAAATGTAAGTTTGTCCCTGATTACTTGAGGTTGTTTCGGTTTGTTGAACCAGTTGTGTCGTTATGACTTCTCCCTCTTTTCTTTCTTGCTTCTCTTTTTTCAAACAAGTAAGATATTCGTATCCAGGTAAGCACGCCGCCATTTGAAATCTGAACTGATAGCCCCGCTGAAGTTAATTGACGGATGGACTTGGATATAGATACTGTAGACTGATGAAGGCCAAATAGAGAGAAGGAGGAAAAAAATGCTTGAATGACCAGGGAAAATTCTGTGTGATGCTACAAATCAATTTGGCCCATAATCTCTTATCTGGGACTTGGGTGAGGCTCGGGTGGCTGAAGTCACAGGGGTGTGTAATCACCATGGCGATAAGGGAGGAGAGGTGAGCCGACTGTCAGTGCAGGAAGCTTCCTGTAATCGATTTGAAGCGTTCTTAGTGGATGGAGAGGTCAGGAAGCAGAAAGGCCCTCGTAGCCATGAATGATTTTGTTCATTCTCACCATCCATCCGAACCTGGATAAGCCCTGGGCCTGCATGTCTCACAATTTAATCTTTAAAGCTTATATTAGTTTTACAGCTGTAGGTCATAGTGCTTTACATCACCAGCTCAAATCAACTAGATTTCTGAGGATATCAAGAGAACACTGAGAGATCTAATTACCCGGACATTGTCATCATCCATCACCTTTTATTTCTTTCTACAAGAGGATGTCAGTATGCTCTCACCAGGATGAAGAATTAGCTTTGACTGTGGCACTTGAAAACAAATTAATTTGTGCAAGAGCGTGAGCTTGAGCTCTACTTAAAGGGAAAAATGGCCTCCATGAGCTTTGAATAATTATACTTGTTAACTTTAATCCCCTTCTTTTGTTCAGAGTTTATTTCAGAGACAAATATTCCTGCGTTTTATCAGTGCTGTTAGTTTAGTTCCTCTGCTTCTCCCTCCCTCATGTCTGATATTTGTGGAGTTAGTTCCTTTGTAGAGTGAGGATTATACGTTTAAGATAATTTAAGGGAAGGAGGAAGTTAGAAG